CAGGAAACAAGACTCTGGAGCAGCCCCCAGGTGAGAAGTTGGGACAAACTTCCTCACATTCTTCTATTGATGAGTCTTCCTTAGTTTAAGATATTGTATCACTGATAGAAAAGGTCCCTTCCATACTCTGTGAAAGTTTAAATGGTTTTTGCTTTCCTTTACCCTTTTTCATTTCCTTTGCTGAAAGTCTGGTTGTAGACACAGAGGAGCTTCCTGCCAGTTTGTTGAACTGACAAGTTACTAAGTTCCACTTGTTCTTGATCCCAAGAGCTTTTACAGGTTTGCCCAACAAAGCATACTAGCAGACGTTTTTGGCGGGATTAGAATAGGGCAACAGAAACAATGCAGATTAACTCAAATTGGGGAATGGGGGTAGGGAATCATTATGTTGCCACCAGTGACAAGGGAAGCTAAAGAACAGCTCAGGCAGAAGCCTGGGAGACAACAAGGCTCCCCGTAGCAAAGCCTGGGGAAAACTGTCTAAAAGCCTGTTGCTACATCAAGCATTCAGAGACACACAAACATCACACTGAAAAAAAATCCTGCTTCATTAAACAACAAAATAATCTATTTATTTCCATTCCGAAACAAGCATGAAAAGAACTGATTTTCAGTAATAAAGCTGTAAACTTCTGGATCTAATAATGAGTATGTTACTGGATAGTTCTAGTAAGGAATACATACAGGATAAGGTTCTGCCCAACTCCTGACCTCTTTTTTTTCCATCATATAAAACCTATATTCCACAACTTGTACTTTTTCTGATTTCAGGTCTACTTTGATTTGAAAGGAATAGTTTTGAGCCTTGAAGGAAGGGTTCAGCACCTTCAAACTGCACATTACTAACCTTTCGGTCTCTTACTGTAGTCTTCATTACCTGAATGTTCTCAGGTGCTTATGACAACAAGGAAGAAGCCATATCTTATTTTTTTTGGTAGGGATAATGAATAATGAATTATTCTTAGAAATTAAATAAAAAGGACTATTTGTTTCCCACTATGACATTTTGCAGTACAGCTGGATTGTATTTAACTGATGGAAGCCCTGGATGCTATAGTTCAAGTGTGTGTATACGTTAACTTTTAATGCAGAGCTGGAGACAGTCAAAACTCTAAAGCAGACAAAAGAAGCCTAAGCAGTAAATTTCTTGTGTCTTGTTTTATAGGCAAACAAATGTGTCACATATGAAGATACATAAACATATGTACTACTCGCATAGTATGTAAACTACTACTTACAGTGTAATTTTCTTGAAGCTGTTCTACTGTTTCACATCATAGCCTAGCGTTCTTCTAGTCATTTATACAGCATTTAACATGATTTTGTTTGGGAAACACTGTCTAATCTAATATGCTGAATGACAGTAATGTTTCTTAATTTTGTTTGGGCAAAGTTCTTTCCTTGACCAGAGATGAATAAATGGCACAATTTTTCATAATCTATGCAGTATAAACTAGATCTTAACACAATTCTGATAGAATTTCCCTTTTTTTCCTCTAGGTATTTATTTCCATAGGAAATTTATTTCTGGTTTGTTATGATGAAGGAATAATGCACCTCTGCATTAGTGTAAAAATATAGATAAGTATCTGCAAAACAAAATTATTATTTTTCTGATAATTTCAGATAAGCTATGACAAGACTTCGCAGAAGAAAGAGACACACCCTCTGAGAACGTCATGGTGTAACGAAAGATGGATAAAACTCCTCCAACTTTCTCCTAATCATCCTGGGAGGCGGGGGTTACATGGTAAAGTTGCTAAAATGCTCTCAGATGCCTCAAGTCTTCATTCTGAAAGCATCATACACTAGAAACTGAGTACTCAAATTGAGGAATGCACTGCATACTAAGTTTTAATTAAAAAAAAATAATAATAAAGCAGCACAATGGTTATTGGGCAAAACCCTATAGTTTGTCATCAGCTTTTTCTTCCTGCTTTTAAATAATAGTCTTGTTATCACATCATTACCTTTTCATACTCATCAGCAAAACCTGACATACAGTGAGAAGTATCCTCCAGTAGCTGTCATTTAGCTTTACTAGACTTTATGTCCCCAACAAAAAGCACGTGTCCTAAACCCTTAGAAAATAAGTTATAACTCCCGTATCACTCCAAGCATAAGAATCAATTTTCCTCTAATAAACAAACTGTCCCAAAGGAAGTGTGGAACATTCCTAAATAGTGAAAGCAAAGAAAGTATTTCTTCTACCTCAGCAATCACTCTAAACATAAGCTACACAGTGCTGGAGAAAGAAGCTCGTTTCAAATCCTTGTAGAGTTCATTAAGGAGATAAGATAAATCGCGTACATGTGTATGCCAATATATACCCTAAAAAACCCCTGGCTGTCACCCCTGAAATAATCTAAAATTGCTCATATTCTTAATGTGATCTGGAATCTTAATAAACTTTGTTAAAGGATCAAATGCAATTGTCTTACAGAAGTCCACTGGCCAATATCCTCACCACCAGCATGTTCTTTTGTTGTTTAATAATAAACAGGCGGTGGTATCCACCTAAACAGAAGCATAGACAAGGCCACTGTTTTAAAATATGAAAATGTATTTTACAGATCTGGATTTTTATTTACGAAGAATTATCCTTTCATATCAATACTTAGTTTTTTTCTTGGTTTATTACAAAAAAAAGAATTTCATAGAGCATAGGGACTGTAGCATGTATGCATCACCCCAATTAATGTAAGACTTCCAGCATGTATGATCAATCACATACTTGTTATACCATCTCATATAGAAAATCCATGACCTAGTTCTAGAAATGGGTTATCTTCAGGTTTAAGAGTACCATCTGCTCTTAATGATGCCACCATCAAAACTGGTCTAATAAAAAAATAAAACAATATCCCTAAGTGATAGTAAAATCGAAAGCACAGAAGAAATTTTCAGGTCATGACTACCCTTAGGGAGCGGAATAGAAATGCCAGTTAGTTTTTAACAAAAGGCGATCAGGTTCAAATTAGTCTTACTCCCTCCTTGGCCCCCATATTGCACAATGAACAATGAATTAATAAGATTTTTGCAAGGAAAGGCGAAATTGGGGCCAAAATAAGGAGAATGGGGAAAAAAAATATTTATTATGAAGAGTTCTTAAAAATCCAAAATAAGATACAGGTTTCAGACACTCAATGGAAAAGAAACATTTCTCCCCTCTAGTAACACAAAGAAAATAATTTACTTTTGCTAAATAATCTTCAAAAAGGTATGTGTACATTGGCAAACAATTTTTTCATTTTATCAAATTAAAACTCCTCTAAAGCCATCAAAACAGAAATTTTGCCAGAAACCCTTTGTTCCAAAAACCAAAGGAAATGAAGTCTTTATTGGTGATCTACATAAAAACTGATAGCTTGAACTTTCTGCCAATTGATTTAGCAAACCATTATGATCATGAAGTTGCAAAATAAAAATAAAGTTATTTCTTCTTGCTTCAGGTGAAATGTTTAAAGCATTTCCTTTAACATTTTACAAATTAAACTTTGACATTAAGTAGGCGTTATGCAGAAGCATGGAATTATTTATGCATACCCTAAAACTGTATCTTAAGTCTTTTGCTGATCTAGAAAAAAATAAACAAGAAATATTTATCTCTATACAATAGATAAATTTCAGGTCCCTGTGGCAAATGAAGATAATCTTTCTTTTATGTTTCACTTGACATGTAATTTCTTTATCCAACCTCCTTCTCCAAAACCTGTTCAGTCTTCTATTTTCATGTGTCTTCCCTCAATACAAACACTCAAAATATGAAACTGTTTGCAGATATGCATAAAAGTGCTATTTTTCAAACATATTTTAATGGAGTAGAAATTACATCAGCTTCCCTTCATATTCATATTTAGCTTCTCCAATTAGAAGTTTATAAGAAAATATTCATATATAGAAAATAGCTCAAAGGACAGCTAAAATGTGGTCTATTGACTACCAAACAAAACAAGAATATGGCTTCAGCAACTATATCACTGTGTAACAGATATCAATACACAGTTATCTAAACCTAAAATGAAACAGAGGTCCTCTTCTGTAACACTTAATGTTTTTGTTAAGAAGAATAAAATCTGCAACTGTAATGGCAAAATTACAGCAAATTTTCATTGTACTGTCTTTCACAGGATTGCCTATTCCTATCATTAGTTGTATTTCTGTAGCAATTTTTCAACATTTAAAGTCTTTCTGAAAAGTCAGTTTGAGAATTTAAGTACAGTATGCTTTCAGGGGAAGAAAGCACTGAAAGTTAGGAAAAGTAAAGTAAACATAACAGAAAAGTGCACAGGAAGAAGCAGTTAAACTGCAGGAGTTCTTTCCCAGCCCCATTCAAAACCAGTTCTCCCTTGCCTAGATTAATCCAACCATCATCTCTCCTGCACGTGCCTTGAAAGCCTCTTCAGCAGCCTTTAATCCTGCTCTTTCTACCGCTACGCTTACCCCTTCAGCTCCAGCGTCCCAGCGACTGTTCTCTCTCCCTCCAGCTTTCTCTGCCCTTCTCATAATAAACAGCCCCCCGCTTTACTTTCCAAAAGAAATAAAAGGGATATGACAAAGTTTTAAAGTAGCACCACTTTGCAGTCCTCCAACTTCCCTTCCAGCAACAGGAAGGCTCTGAAACTGGAAATGGAACCTGCCCAAGAAAGTTAATTTTGGTTTGGTTTTGCAAGTTCTCTTCATAATTCCACTTTTATATGGTAGCTTAAGTTGGCTACTGCTTAAAAAGTACGGAGAAGGCGAGCAAATGGCCAAATAAAATAAAATATAGCCTGTCTGTTATGGGAGAAAGGAGACTATTCTCATAAAATTCATGCTCCATCCACTTTCTGTCTGGTGAATTAAGATGCTGCCATGTAATTTTTCTCAAGACATTAAAAAAAAAAAAAGTCAAGCACAGATGACACTTGAATCTAGTATATTGGCATAATCCAATATGAAATAATTGTATATTTCTGTGGCACACAAATACATGCAGTATGGTTAATATGCTACTGTACCTCATTTTGAAGTTCATCGCCACTTTTGGTAGAAGCAAGCATCTCGTACAAAGTGCAGCAGAGGTCTTCTGTTGTTGGCCCTCCGGGGGTACCCCCTTGAGATTCATTCAGATACTTTCCAACTTCACACCATAAAAAAGAATCATCTACTTTTTCTAAAGACTTGAGATCTGATTTCCCATCACAGTAATTCTGTAAGTGATTCAGCTGGTTATTCAGAAATTTGTTATAATCTAAGCTTATAATTTTCTGTGCATCAACCTCACCATTCACAGGCAGCTCCTCAGAGTGATCCAAATCATGCATGTCAAATGAAAACACTATATTTTTACCGAAGAACACTCTGTTATCACCATTTTCCTCTTCAGCCATCTGTATGAGGGATGTAAGCTGTTCTTCAGTGAAGTGAGAAGCAATACGACATGTGGCATTACAAGCTGCAGTAGCAGATGATGATGGAAATGGCCCAAACATCTGCTTGATCGCCTTTGTCTCATCATGGCCAACACATTCTTTCCTGTGAAATGTCTTAAAGAGAAAAACAGCTCCGCTTTCAATTGCCTCTTGTCCATTTTCAGCTCCAACTGTTAACAAAACCAAAAACAAATGTAACTTTATACACTTCAAACTAATTCTCTTTCATTGCCTATAACACAACTGTATTCAATTTCTTGCTGCAAGTCTCATCAACAGGGTTATGAAATGAAGACCATAACAACAAGTAGCAATTGTTGCAAGGTACTGAATTATAAAAAGGAACAGGATAATAAAGTATTTGTCTTCATTATCCTTCTACTTAGCAAGAAATTCATATTAAGGATTACCAATGCTTTCTTATTTTTCTGAGTTAGAGGAAAAACTTGCCTGAGGCCTTAAACTCACGATAGTATATTTATGAGCTTTTTAAAACGTAACAAATTTCCACTTTGTCTCACTGTTTATTCACTGACTAATCTGAATATTCATAACAGAGTAAACATACAGAACTCAGCTGGGAATTACTACATTCCCAGTGGAACTACTACAGAACGTGTGTTAGAAAAATTGCCCAAAGAAATTAAAGCAAATAAATGCATGAATTTAGTTTTATATCTACAAAATATCATATTATGCAAATTTAAAAAAATAGTATTAGAGAAAAACATGAATTTACCTCTTACACGAATATTCACAAAGGTACTCGAGGAAAACAAACAAAAACACCATATGATGAACCAAAATGTCACTACTAAACAAAATTTTAAGTCGTCAAGCATAGACTAAACAAAACCAGACAGCATACGGAGTTTTTTAGTTTGTTTTATATGAGGACAACATGCAGAATTTTTTTTTAAGTTTAAAAAAAAGTGTTCTAATAAGCTGGGTAGGTTACTCTAATGTTTTTAGTAAAATTAGCCTTTCTTACAAGACTGCATAGTTTTTAAAGCATCCTAAAAGCTTACTGAGGAGATTTACATGCTGCTACTGTCAAGATGTCTTTATCTGGTCAATTCTTTAGTTATAACAAGATCAGCCAGCAGAACTCCAGCAGAGAACAGTTTGATTTAAATGATAAGATTCATGATTAACCCCTGGTATGGCTAATTCAAAAGAACTATTAAAACAAACAGTTTATTTTAAAAGGAACAATATTATTCATTTTTTAAATGCCTCAAATGACACTTCTGGCGATGTAATGTGGCTATTCTCTTTTCAGTAATCAAAACTGTCTTTTGCCTACTTCTGCATACCTCTGCTATTCAGTTATGGGCCTCTCAGTTTACTCAACTATGTCCCTGTTTTCTGCTTGTTAAAAAACTTACTGGAATCGGTGGGAAGGTTCCTAATTCCTCTAACATTGTTACTTGTGACTTGATTCAACACAGGTTAAGTTTATCCCCAGCAAAAGCAAGGCCTTTTTTTTTTTTTTTTTTACCCACAATGTAACAGGAAAGAGCAAAAGTTATCCAGCATAAGCAGGTGGAACAAGGCTGTGTAACTAGCAACATAACATACAAATGGCAGCACCTAAAAATTCAGTATTTCTCTTGAATTTCCCTGTGGTGCACTTTGAAAAGCTGAAAGTTCAAGGAGAGGATTGGAAACAATTTTTACAGGATAATTAGGTACTACATAAGGAAGATATGCGATGAAGATATATTTACATATATATTGTATATGTGTGTATCTCAAAGGAAAGAGGTGGTTTAGCCTCCCCCTAAGCATTAGCTATGTAGGAATCACAGGAAAAACAGCAACCAACATCTAAAAGCTTACAGACCTAAGTTTGGCTGCGTGAACCTCATACTCTTATATTCCTAACATACAAATACACATCACTATTTAAAGTCACTTGTGTCAGAACAGAAGCACATGTTATTAAACTAAAAAAGCAATTGTACTGAAGGACTTTAGAAAAGGCTCTTAAGGTTTATTATGTGTCACTTCTCCTTTAGTATCAATATCTCCTATTCATGGAAGCATCTCTTCAGAAAATACTACCCCTCCCCTGTGAATATAATGAGCCAGCCAAGATGGCAAGAGATGCACTACTTGAAGCTACTCTTTCCTTTTTGTTTTTAAGACAATCAGATCATTTCAGTAAGTGACATTTTCCCTGTTAAGTAAATCAATATTAGAGTGTCTGTTGCCCAGGCTGAGATTTCATTTCCTTCAAATTGAAGTAAAAAGGCATACAAGCAATTCCTTTTCCCTACTATACATTTCTGATGATGATGGTTGGAACACTACTGTCAGTTTAGTATGTGCCTCCGTCACCGTAATCCGCTCTGGTTTGTGTCTCCATAACATCACCCATCTTTATTCAGCAGTGGTTTCTTTCTAAGTTGTTCTAACTAAATAATCTTGCATTTGATTTCATTTGTGTTGTCCTCTCCACTCTATCAAACAAAAATTTACCAATATTACTTCCAGGTCTTTCAATTTGCTCTATCCACCCTCCAGTGCTATTAAAGTTTGGAGGAAAACAAAAGAAAAAAAAAAGCTTTTACAGCCATCTTTGGCACTAAGTGAGAAAAAAAAAAAAAAAAAAAAAATCACACAGCTAGTACTCATTTCTGACATTAATATAGAAAAAAACCCTGACAAATGATTTTCGTAGATAACATTTGCAGCTAAGAATGGCAAATACTTATTTTGCTTATAACCTTTTTCCCCGCATCATCAGAAATTTTTTCCTACTTGCTACACTACACACGATCTTACTTTTTATACTGCAAACTTTACATTCATGATATATTTGTCAGCCTTAACTTAGCCAACGTTTTACTCTAGCACCTCTTGTGATTAAACTATACCCAGTGGATATTTAAAACAACTATGTAGTTCTTCTCAATCAATACAGATCTATTATCAATACAGACTTCACCCTTTCCATATTAACTTTAGGCCCTGACAGTTGATGCAAACTCACTCCCCATCTTGCAAGACTTTCCCCCAAACCTTGCGTATCACAGGTGCCAGCTGAAATCTGCGCATTGAAGCAGAGGTACCTGCATTGGGGCAGAGGTGGCCCTTCCCAAAGGCCTGTCCTGGAAAGACAGGCAGCCACATGCTTAACTTCTGGCCTGATGAGGTTAAAGGCTACCAACAACAGAAGCTCTACTACTTGCATTAGGAAAAATAGGATTCAAGAAAGTTAGGACCACATTTTTAAAAATAACAGTTATGTCACTAACATGGAAGGAATGAACTACAAAGCAAAGTTTAGAACACATGTATCATCAGGTGAGTTTAAAACATTTTTGTCAGTGATTTCAGAAATACTTGTAATTTTTCTTCTGATGACTTACTAAAGCAATAGCCATTACAACCATCAATAGCTTTAACAGACATCTGTGCAACTGTACAGCACAACTGATTACTACATCCTGGACACGAATAACTCATCTAGCCTCTTCTGAAAGTCTGTGTTTAGATATTTGTTTCCTTCTCAATTTGCTATTTATTTCCAAAAGAACTGTCAAGAAACAGAAACACAAGTGAGGCAGGTTATCATTTGTATCGTGATAAAAAACTCTGGTCTACAATGCCAAAAAAAGACAAATATATCTCTATATATTAATTCTCTCCATCTTTTTACTTAGGGTTCTAGTCAAGATATTTGAAACAATCAGAAAAGGAGAAAATATACCTATTAGACTTAAATGAAAAATTCTTAAATATGTGACAGCTAGAGCTTGAGCCACGTACTCAGTTTATAAGCTGATGAAGTTAAAATCTGCTAACAGCACAAGCTTTATTAGTTTTAGTCTGTTGATCAAAAACTAAGTTTCCAATCAAAACTAAGTTTTCACACTTTCTTTGCCATAACGTATTTCAGTTTTAAAGGCTTAATTCCAGATGAGTGGAATTTATTACTTATTTCTCTCAACGCCATACATTTGAAGAAGAAAACATTTTTTACATTTTAATGTAGCAGTCCAATTTTTCATTGTACCAATCACTTGGAATTAAAGGAGATAAAACCGAGATTGTTCTTCTTTCAGAGAACTGCCATCCTGAAAGAAGATGTTGCTTTTGCCTACAAAAGATGGATCACAAACCATACCACACGCTACACGATACTATCAAAAAACTAAGAATATTCACATAACAACAGAATCATATTTTAAAATAAAACGGAAGACCAAATTGTGCATACACGTATCAGATTAACAGGAGTTTCAAAGATATTTCGGGGCAAGCCTGGCATCAAGGTAGAACTAAAATTGTACCAGAATGCAAAGTATGCAGGCAGAAAGCTCCTTGAAACTCCCTATCTCCCCAACAAAACAGTGTGTTATTAGACTACTAGAGAATGAAAACATACCTATTTGTTTTGCAGCTTGTAATATAGTTTTTAAATCACTGTTTACAGTTTGGTGTTCTTTTTTGTCCAAATTGTCATCAACAAACTTTATTATTTTCTTCCAAGTAAGATCAGACTTCAGCAACTCTTCGTATAGTTTTGATCTCTTAGTCTGAAAATGCAATATTGTTTTTATTTTTTACTTATTTATTTCAAATTACTATACGGGCATTACTTTAAAATTAAACACCAGATGAAAACACCTCCTTCCAACTGCATTCAGTCAGTATGTAGTAATAACTTCAAGTAGTTTCCCTATTACCTGTTCTTTACAGTCTTTCCTGAGCAGAAGAAATGATACACACACGCACACATGTGCTCTCTCACTACTCTTTCTGATGCAGAATTCTCTGTAAAGCCAAAGTCTTGCAACTTTAAGAGATTTACAGCTCCCACGACTCTGAATTCATTTCACATTACAGGTTCCCACAACACATCTATTCCTTTAATGCATTATTTCTTGGGGGGGGGGGAAGAAAAAAAAAAAAGAGTACCTAAATTCAGTATCACTATATTCATTCTAGACATCCCCCCAACAAGAGCCTGAGGTGAAATCAATATTCAAAAGGAAATGTTTGGCTCCCCAGCTCTGCATAAATTCAGAGTCAAAAACACACCAGCCCAGCCCAACTTAACTTCACAAAAGATGAAATAAAAAGGGCTGTATTAACACAGTCAAGCAACCCTATCCATAGAGCACATCATGATTGTAAGGGCCTAGCATAAATCATAAAGCTACGGCAAATCGGACTTAGAGTGAGGACACTATGAAGGAATGCTCAGTAAACTATATACACGCTGCCCAGTGTTGCTTGCCTGCGCTTGTAAAATACCAGTGCAAATGAAGAAAGCAAGCAGTTCTTACTATATACGCACTAACACTTTACAATTATGCTTTGGAAAAGAAAAAAAAATCTTTACCGTTAAGTCAGCTAATTCTTCACTGTAATCCTCATGTTTAGTGACATTTGAAAAGGAGCGTAAAGCGCCTGTAAGACGAGGCAAGGCCATCTGTTACTCATTCAGTGATCCATAGGATGAAAAATCAAATCCCAGTTCAAGCACCTAGATGAGAACAAAATAAATAACACGGCTTTGTCAATGCTATAAATACAAACTCACATCACAAACTTGAAAGACTTTTTGGAGCGAGCAGAATTTGGCTGGCGCGTCAGTTAAGTTTAAAAAATCTCTCTCAAAACGCTGATAATCAAGATTCAGTCGAAGGGAGGTGAAAGGCACAGAGCATAGGCAAGACACGGTAACATGCAGAGGTCACTCAGCAGGTTCTTCTTCTCTCTCCTCCCTAAAGAAAAGTTACCAGCAATGAGGCAAAGTAGCAATTATTCCTTTAGCACAGCTAACAGAAGAGTATGAGAGTGAAATCTCTGCAACTGAACTTTAGCTTCCACCAGCAGTAAGTGATTACAACCTGCGGGAAGATTTCCTCTCAAAGCTCCACAGTGGGAGCTCTCAGGTCATTAACAGCCTCCGGCGCTGATGCAGGGGCATCCTTCTTGGCAACCGCTTCGCCATTTTTAACCAGCAAAACAGGCAAAGAGAATTACGACAGGGAAAAAAAAGATCGTAATACGCATAGCACCGAACTATTGTAAGAGATAAAGGGAATAAAAGGGCTGCCGGACAACTGAGAAAAAGTATGCCTCGGGAGGTTTTCATCTCACAAGTGGGAGGGCGCACACACACACACTCACTTACACAGTGCGGGGCTCTCCCCAGACTACAGCCTATTTCTGCACAGCCTTATTTCCTCTGTGAAACCAGCTCGTATCTATCTACACAGCAAAACACAGCTGCTCTCCATCTGAACTTGTGCTCATTCCGAGCCTTTTACTGAAACTATTCTCAAAGTTGTTTTGTTTCAAAAGGTGCCCACTGCTGAATTGTTTAATAAACTAATGCACAACTATGGTTTCTGATGGTAGCAGATAGATACAGGTTTAGATTTAGATTATTTTTGAAACAGTTAATGATACCGTTATAAACCTAATGGTCTGCATTATTCTTAGCATGCCTGAAGACCATCGGCCATCTAGAATTTAACTTAGAACAGAGTTAATAAAATTACTTTCCTGCCCCCTCCCCCCTTCCCCCGAGTCATACACTGTACAGAACTCCCTGATTTAATCCAATTATTCTTATTTTTTTTCTTCATTTAATGACTGCATCTGTATTTTAGCTATCAACTTTGCAACACAGCACAAGAGAAAATCTAGATGCAGTGTTTCAGTCAGAGAAATGTCACCGACTTCTCAGGTCAGCTTCTTTTCCCAACTCACATTAAGATGCTTTTCGAGAAAAGCTATCACAGCAGCTGATATTTTGGAAACAAATGTAACAATGAAGCTACAAAGCGCAGAAATATAAGATCTTTAAGTGTGAAAGGGACAGCGAGAACATGTTCAGATTCAAACCCGGCAGCAGGCAGAGCAAAGGAACACTGCAGCTTTTGAAATGTTCAGTTCAGATATGACACATAATTCATACCAGCACAGATCCCAGTGAAAACAGCCTGTGAACATTATAATCACCGTTATAGAAGGGAAGTAATGTGTCCAAAACTTGAGGGAACCTAACCTGACCTTTTTTGTTTGAACCTCATACTGCTCCAATGACAGCATGGCTATTAGCTATTAAAGATCATTCCATTTTGCATATTTATTTTATACCTACACCCGAATACCTTTTTCTATAGAATCATGGTCCTTTATAATAACATATAACAACATAATTATCATATTATTATCTTACTTGTCCTTTCTGAAATAACATGCACAGTAATTTATGAAAGTTCAAACTCTCTCTTAAAAAGTTCACTTTTCACACACGCTTTTAGGAGATTTTAAAGCACCTCCAGCAGGCCCGTTTGTTAGGAAGTTGAATTTTAAAGGAGTGTTTCCTCCTCCTTTATTCATTGAGCTATTAATACTTGCTGAAATAAATAAACCTGGAACCCCAGGGGCCAAGTAAGGGCACACCTCCCTGACTGTGGACTTGGCCTAAGAGCCAAATCCAGCCCCAAAACCCTACAGTTGGCCTCATACTAATAACTGCCGCTCCACGTGTGCCTACGTGCTTTCTGAACTTGCTGGTCCCGGAGGGGGCTGGCTTGGCAGAGCAGACACCCAAGGCTTTTGCACTTCATTTATAGGCAAACGCCACACGTGCCCTTCACTTCTGGTCCGTGACGCCCGCCCTCACCAGGCCACCACAAGAACGCAAAAATAGCCACCAACTAGAAAGCAGGAGCACAGCTGCAACTACTCTGCTGTTAACATAAAAACCAAGGTAAAGTTTATAAACTTACACTGTTCCACAACATGGTAGAGCCAGCTCTAGACACTGGGTCAAACACGCTGTGGCCCTATGAGATGCAGCGTAAATTTACATTTTATGCCGTTTAAAAAAAAAAAAAAAAAGGTTACAAAAAGTTACCTGCTTTCACACAGTCTGCTGACATAGATACCTGCCTGCCTTTAGACCGTATCAACTACTGCTTGTCTTCCCACAGCCACCATAAGGGTAAGTAATTCCTTCTGATTTGACAGAAATATATCTGTTTGCCCACAGCTTGATCTGAAACAACTGTCCTACCAAATGGCCTTGCTAAAAACTGCTGGATTTAGAACAAGGACCTAAAAGGCAGCCACAATTAAATCCTATTTACCAGGGCCCACATAGAGATGCAAGATGAAGATCTGCCATTCTTCTGCCCATTCCCCCTCAAGAAAAAGGTGTGAGAATAGGTACTATCTTATATCTTGTTTGTAGAGAGTCAAGTGGAATGGGAATTTAACCTTATGATCAGTGCAACTTTCCATGGTAAAAATATCTTCCCCACCTCACTCCAGTCAAGTAAGGACAATTTGGGCCCATTCTGCTAATGATTTTTTTGGAAAAGGAGCTGAAGTTTGACAATTTCTAGAACTACCTCCGATTTCATACCTCTTAAAAAAACCCTTAACTTTTCACCAAGCTTCTGTTTGTAAAGCAGAAAAAGCAATATCTATGTTTCTAAAGCTTTGTGAAGATGAGAGGTAATAACTTTTAAAGCCTATTTTACTACTTTTAAAAGCAAGTGTGATTTTAAAGTTGAAACCTTTTATGAGAGAAAGTAAAACATAAAAGCAGAATATACTCAGTTCAGGTATGAAACCATCCAAACTTTATTGTTTGAAAGTAAACCTAACAGTAAACATGGACCATAATCTCAGAGGTTTTTATTCATTAAACTGAAACATTAAAAAAAATACACTAGTGATATTGCAAAGGTAACAGATTTTACTAGAGAAGTTTTCCACGTCATATTTCCACCAACTACCTAAGTTTTCTTCTCACTCTTGGCCTCCCTAGATTTTTTTTTCTATAAGCAAATAACAGAACTGTCTCTTCTCGACTGAAATGTTAGAGGGATTACGGTCAAAGAGATGCCCTTTTTAAATTCACTTAATTCCTTTCCTCTGTAACAAACAAGTCAGTTGCCCAGTAGGGCTAAGAGAAGGGGACTGATCAAATCTGGTACCTCAATTTTTAAGTTGAGCACAAATCTTTACTTACAAGTGGTGGAATAACACAGCATTAACAGAATCACAGGTAAAGTCTGCAGCTACACTATCCTAAAGTACCAGCTTCTGTAGCCTCTAGTATTTGACTTGTTATAGGTCCCTTAAAACCTCAGAGCAGTCATTTCGTTTAAACTATTTAAGGAATATTTAGCCATGTTACCAGGTTTTTCCTATATTGCCTATAATTCTTTAAATTATTAACAAGTTTCTTGCTGCCTATGTAAACTTTTCATTTATAAAACCTGAAGTTAGCACTACTAATCTAATCAAAGTGCCTTATAAAGAAAAAGAAGCTTTAGACATTGGTAATTAATAGCAGGTTGCTACTGACCACATAGTATTTGGAAAAAATGGCATTTCAGGTGAAAAGGAAGCTGAAAAGGCAGAAAATATCCCAGCCATAAGGCAATACAAAAAATAAAGGGACAGTGCAGTAACCTTCTGCACTTTAAATATATTTTGAAAACATTAAAACAAATGTTAGCACAGGATTATCTAAATCAAACACAAAAGCAGTAACGCCATGAGGACACATTAAGACATTTTAAATATATCCACACAGAATATTTTACTTCTACTGTGCAAGAATAAAAATAAATAAATCCCAAAGCATTAAATTTTAGTGACATGAACACATTTTAGAATTGCTACAGTTAACCTCAGCAGCTTCATTAACACAAAGGCGAACTTCGTATTTTATTTAGAAGTAAGCCTCAATATTGAAAAAACCCCACACTCTATTAGGTGTGTATTGCTCAATGTCTCTTTAAACAAATAAATGCATTCGATTTAAAAAGTATTTTACAACAATGAGGACATTTGTCTAAGATTCACTTAAACTTCTTATCCAAGCATGTTTCATGCAAACAGGACAAATACAGCACCTAGCATCAAAGTTGGCTGGGATAACAGTGGATTAGTAATGTCTGGGACATTAATCGTAAACAGCAGGCCAAAGCAATATATTACAATATTAGTATTTTCCACCTTTATATAAGCAGTGCTATATGATACAGTAACAATTGTACACTTTCAGACATCTAATTTTCTGCAAAAGGCTCAGACATAGCACTGGAATTCTCTCAAGTTGTCTGGGTTGAATACTGCTGATCTCCAGTCAAGCCCAGGTCAATCTTCGAAAGGGAGATGTCAAGATTAAGGAAAATGTACTCACGAAGAAATAGTGGCTGCCTGATACATGGTATTTATCTCAGTGAGCTCCAGAATTCAAACAAATGCTTTAGCATAATGAGGACGAATAACAGTGCCTGTGTGTGCCATCCTTCATGTAAGAAACAACTTCAGGATCTTAATTATACAAGTCACTAAACCAAAAAAAGCCCTAAAAACAAATAATAGAATTGCAAGTCATGAATTCAGTAGAGTATTAACCCTTTCCAGATTTTCTCTCTCTCACAATTTTAGCTGTGTATATGGGATTAAACACCAGCTGCCTAACACTGCTCCTGCTAGCGTCAG